AATAATAATAATTATAATAATAATGATAATAATATTTTTGAAAACTAGCTCCACCTTTCCCACATTTCTAAATGAGATCAATCTGTATAAAAATGTGTGAAATGCTGTAAAATTGTATGAATATCTGTGTAACTTTATTCCTGAGTGATCACTTATATTTTGTTTTTTATTTTTGTTTTATCTTTTATTATTATGTCTACTTTACAGTTGGTTCAGTCACAGTAATACTGTAACCTGTATTCAACTGTCATATGTCCTTTTTGACTGTAAAAAAAAAATCATTAAAAAAAAATAAAAATAAAAAAATACCTAATACGCTGGTTGCCAACCGCCGTTAAAAGACAAAAAGAAGAAGAAGAAGAAGAAGAAGAAGAAGAAGAAGAAGAAGAAGAAGAAGCATACCGTCGTGTGAGATTGACGTTATCAGCCGGCGACAGCGGAAGCAGAGAGCAGAAGAAGGATTTGGAGCGGATTTGTTGGATTATATCGTCACAGAGAGCAGCTAGCTGCCACTTCAATACTTTGTCTGGATAAAATCTGACTCCTCGAAACTGTTTGTGTTGTTTACATCGAAGACACGTCATAGTGCTACGTGATAAACAACAAATAAAAGGAGAGAAGAGGATTCACCGCGAGGAGACGCAGTAACCCGGTTTCCTTGACAACGGTGAGAGAGCGTCATCGCCGATCAGCTGCTGATAACAGATCAATAATAACACGTGATGTACTGTTACTATTTAATCCAGGATCATTAATGTTGTGGCACGCTGAGTACCAGCGGTGGAAGTAACTAAGTAACGCTATATTACTGTACTCATTACTGTACTCAGTAGGGTGAAGTCAGGTAATATGGGACATCAGTTAATACGGAGCATTTAAGGTCTGAGGTATTTTGCAATTCAAATAACGTTATTAGCAGCCAATCACAAAAAACGATTTTGAGTTGTTGTTATAACACCCCGTGACAGAAAACAATCAATTTGATTGGTCACTGGTAACCAGGAAGTTGTTGATGAAACTTTGAAGGAGATCTTGGAGGGAAATTCACATGGTAAGTGCAGTGACATGTGGGATGTCATTTTTGCAAAATATGACTTCTAAACAAAAAACAAACCATTTAAGTATCTGAAAATTTGTATTTTCATGAAGTGTTTTATGAAGTCTTACAATTTTCATGAGTACATTTGCCAAATACACATTGTTTTTTTGTGAATTAGCATTTGAGGCACTGTCCCATATTGCCAAAAGGTAAAATCATGATTTAAGCAGTTATGCTGAAAAGCTTTGCTGTTACAGGTAGTTTTTGTATAATTTTCAACTGTGAACACATTTAGCCTCACACAGTTACATTAATCTGTAGGCTAGTATAGGCCAGCAAATGCTAACACTGTGAATCTAGGGATTAGGTTGCTCTGTATTACCTCTCCCAAGGAAAGAGAGGTTTTAAGCAATTAACAGTATTCATGTATTCAACAAATGTTCTTTTAATTATAATGAATTGATTGATGAATTCCTTGGTGTACTGTTTGTTAACTATGTTATTAATTTCTATGTTCAAAAACTGACCTGAACCACTAATATGTTCAAATAAAGAAGAGAAAATTAGACTGAAAATTAATGTTCCATATTACCATAATACCTGTCCCATTTTACCTGAACATGCAGAATGGGGAGAGAAGGGGGTCTCAGTGAGTTTATAGGTCTGTAGTTTCTAAATAAATATACATTACAACATAATTTCAAAACAGAAATATTGTAGAGATCTATGATAACTGATAAAAACATTATTAGAGTGAGTAACCACTTTTTTGGTGTTGGTTTGGTAATTCTACCAAAAAGTGTCCCATATTACCTGATTTCACCGTACTCTTAATTTACGAGTATTTGTATTTTATATTATTTAACACTTCTACTTTCCAACAGCTCTCTGACAGCTGGTGGAAATTAAATGCATTTACTCAGTTATTGTATTAAGTACATGTTTTGCACAGTATTTCCAGTGTATCAACTTTACAGGCAACATCTCTTATACCACCACATTTATCTGTCAGCTTTAGTTACGTTTCAGATTCAGATTATTGATACTCAATAAAACAAACAATGATGTATTACTGTAGATGAACTTACCCAGCAGGATATAAAGTCATTAAAATGATCACCTTTTCCAGCTGCAACATTTAAGTGATGAACACATTAATGCATCAATAACTATAGTCGGGGGCGTAAATATCAACTATAATAATCAATAATCAACTATTCTATATCTGTAAATTAAATATGCTATAACTACGAACTAGCTACTCTATCAACTATTTTATAAATTAAATATTCTATAGCAGTAGTTCAGTAATTGGTAAAACAAGTTAAATTTGTTCAGACACATTTAATCTGCAATAATAAAATGTACATATTTTTTTGAGTGTAATAAATGAAGGTCAATTTCAATTCAATCAATTTTATTTATAAAGCCCAATATCACAAATCACAATTTGCCTCACAGGGCTTTACAGCATACAACATCCCTCTGTCCTTATGACCCTCACAGCTGATCAGGAAAAACTCCCCAAAAAAACCTTTAATGGGGGAAATAAAAAGGTAGAAAGCTCAGGAAGAGCAACTGAGGAGGGATCCCTCTTCCAGGACAGACAGATGTGCAAGAGATGTCGTACAGAACAGATCAACATAATAAATTAACAGTAATCCGTATGACACAATGAGACAGAGAGAGAGAGAGAGAGAGAGAGAGAGACAGAGAGAGAGACAGAGAGAGAGAGAGAGGCAGGACAGACGGTAATGACAGTAGCTTACAACAACATTAATTAAAGTAATAATATAGTAATAGTTATAGTTCTGGCTACTGTGGTACAATATGTTGAAAGTATGTATTAATATCTGGCAGTATACATGTGTGACAATAGTCATATGTGTATAATAACAGTAGAAGTATGACTAATGACTAATGATGGCAGCAGCACAACCACACACGTCACGCTGTCCAGGCACCGCTGCGATATGAGTTAATCTGAGAGACAGTGGAGCACAAAGGCTCCGGAGAAGAAGCCGAGTTAGTGACATGCAGTACGGCTGAGTTAAGGTGAAATGAACAACTTGAAATATTCTAATAAAAAATCATGTCAGTATATAGCTGCTGTTCGTAACTCCAATAAAACATGTACAGATTATAAAGTATAATTTATAGAATATATTAAAGCCAAACATGAGCTAAATATTTAATGTTAAATATGTCAGAGCCGACATGATGATAATGGCTGTAGAGTTCTTCCAGTCAGCATCAGTCACACATGTTGTGAAACAGCTTACTCTCATTCACTCACGTTGATTGTTGTGGCTCAGTGAGTCATGTGATCATAGCAGCCATATTTAAAGTCCTGTCCTAGAGTGCTCTGAGTCCTGATGTGTGTTTAATGAGAGTTCACCTGTGCAGCACAGCAGGTGTTCTCTGCTGTCACCATGTCGTCTGTGGAGTCGAGCGGTGACGGTGGGAAGTGGCTGGACGCTCATTATGACCCGGTGGCGGGTCTGTACACCTTCACGTCCTGCGTGGACCTGGCGGACCTGAGCGGCGATGGGGAGAGCCGGCTGGTGGTCGGAGATCTGGGCTCTGGCTCCTCGGCCATGAAGCTTAAGGTGTACCGGGGCACGGCGCTGATGAGCGAGAGCACCCTGCTGGACCTGCCCACCGGCCTTGTCGCCTTCTTCATGGACCTGCACGAGCCGCGCATCCCCGCCGTCGCCGTGGCATCTGGACCCTGCATCTACGTCTACAAGAACCTGCGGCCGTACTTCAAGTTCACGCTGCCCGGCCTGGAGGTCAACACACTGGAGCAGGTGTGTGTTTGTGTCAGGACACACACAGGTTGGACTGCACACTGGTCAGTTCAGGATGGATGATTTTACATGAAAAAGTTTATTTAGTAATGTTTGTTTATATGACTGATGGATAGTCACCTCCCCCACCCATCACAACATTCAGAGGGTATACAACTCAGACTAAGAAAGGAAATAAATAAATAAACATGCACATACATAAACAAATAATGTAAAATAAGTTTTATAAATATAACTAAATACAGAAAACATAAATAAATATTAGAAAAAGACATGTACAATTATGGTAACATAATCCCTGTTAAAGATAAACATAAATAAATGAAATAAATATACAGATAATGTAGTAATCTTTGTTAAAGACAGATAGAAAAAATAAATTAGTAAATGAATGTACAAACACAAATAATGTCAAACAATTTAAATATAACTTAATACATAAACATGAATAAATGAATAAAATAAATATTCAAATTATATGAAATAATTCCTTTGAAAGATGAATGAATAAATAAAATAAATATTCAAATAATGTAAATTAATTTTAATAAGGATAATTGAGTACATAAACATAAAGAAATAAATAAGAATAAATATACAAACAACAATAATGACGGTGGAATGAGCAATTTTATTTTCATTTATTTTCTATTTATGCACTCATTTTATTTTATGTCTATTTTAATACCACTGTGTTATTGTTGATGAGGGGAAGTGTGTTTTTTTTTTTTTTGTCTTTTATGAGCTGCTGGAGGCTGAATTCCCCTTCAAGGATAAATAAAGCATACAACAAACAAATAATTAAATAACTCCTAATTAACAGAAACAGAACATTATAGGCATCATTAAGGTCAGCTGCAGCTGTTGGATCAAACTGCATCAGACTGTGCAGCTGTACCTAATAAAGTGGACACTGAGTGTAAATCAGAAGCAAATATGTATAGTTAAAGTTCATTGAATAAAATAAATAAAAATATTTTTTATATAGTTGATATTTTCCAAAAAAAAAGACACCAAGTAACAATGAATATAATAAAAAACAATATTATCTATCAGAAAGTGTCAGGTGATGCAACGTCCTACATTAGAGAGAACAAAGTCAGTAACACACAATCTTTAAATTATTGGATGAATAAAGTGATATATATATATATATATAAAATATCTGAGCTACTTCACTCATGGATACTGACAGCTGATTTGTAAATGATCAGCGGGGAGATGATGTGTGAAGGAGCCTCAGTTAACAGACATCAACACGCAGAAAGAGCAGAATCACCCTTGAATTCCTTCCATGTGTTCAGACTGCGCTGTAAATAAAGCTGACTGCACCTGTGACATGTTGTGGCACTGTGATTGGTCAGGACGTGTGGCAGCAGGTGAGGGAGGGTCAGATCGACCCTCTGACCCTTAAGGAGATGTTGGAGAGCATCAGGAAGAAGGCCGACGTCCCGCTGTCCATCCGCTCGCTCAGGTTCCTGTCTTTGGAGACCAACGACATGGATGAGTTTGTCCAGCTGCACAAACAGCAACCAATCAGGCGCCAGGTAAAGCTCATTATAATATCAGTATCATGCTGTAGAACAGTTTATATAAAAAGAGTTACCATGGTAACAATGATGCATAATGAGAAGAAGATAATGGAATGTCACAACCAAACAAATGTGAGAGCAAAGACCTATGAACAGCTGATTTTAAGTCTAAAAAACTGACATTATTTTTGGGTATTTCATCACATGGTCAAAGTAGTACCGTCCCTCACTCACACCGTGGTGGTCAATGCTCGTCTGTGTTTCAGACCGTCATCACCTGCATCGGGACTCTGAAGAAGAGCACAGCTGACGAGGATGGCGTCAGCTGTCTGGTGATTGGTACAGAGAGCAACGACGTCTTCGTCCTGGATCCCGAAGCCTTCATCATCCTCTCCAAAGTAAACTCCCATCACACACTGCTGCTGCTGGAACTGGTTTGAACTGGTCCTACTGGGAGAGCGGGAATATATTATTTTGTCTAATTAGTTTGACCTCTAAGCTGGTCAGCCTGACTTGTGGAATGCCACAGGGTTCAAAACTCGGGCCCCTTTCTATTTAATGTACCATAAATCCTAAAATAAGCAGCAGATTTATTTACCCGAATGGCCTCTTTTGTAAATTTCCCCTGAATCTGAAAAACTTGACCTTTAATGTGATCGAACACTTCCTCCATGTTCACCTGTTAAACTGTTGTTAAATGTAGTAAATATATCATTTTCCACAGCACAAACTCAATCTTTTTTTCCCTCAAATATCTCAAAAAGTATTTGGATGGCGTGCTCAAAATTTGATACACATGTAAACATTACACCTGCTAAACATCAGCTGATGTTAGCACAGCTGATCAGGAAAAACTCCCCAAAAAAACCCTTTAACGGGGAAAAAAATGGTAGAAACCTCAGGAAGAGCAACTGAGGAGGGATCCCTCTTCCAGGACGGACAGACGTGCAATAGATGTCGTACAGAACAGATCAACATAATAAATTAACAGTAATCCGTATGAGACAATGAGACAGAGAGAGAGATGCAGGACAGACGGTAATGACAGTAGCTTACAACAACATTAATGA